CGTGCTTGGGGAGTGGTTTCGTTTCGGTGAGTTGGGGGAGTTAGGTCGATTTCGTGCTGGTCCTTGGCACGTCGCTCTGGTCGAGAGTTCAGGGCTCCTCGTGGTGCATTGCCTCAAATGTGGTGCTTTCGCTACCTGCACAGCGTGAGGGTTTCGTCCGAAAGCAGGGAGCTCAAGAGAAGGCTCCTGCCAGGGACCGGCCGCTATAAAGAATTCCATCGCCCTCCAACTCTTGGGCCGTGAAGTGCGTGCAGTGAGGATGATTGTGTAATGTTTTTTCCGCAGTGTGCTGTGCTTGTACGGTACACTGCCCAGTGAGTAACCCAGTATCCAAAGAGGTGGAGGAGGATTGAGGAGGAGGGGGAGGATTACCAAGCGCGTTATAGGCTAGGCGGCCATCATCGAAATACTGGGGACTGCGACTCCGGGAAGTAAATTATTTAAATGGTTGTCCGACCGCTCGCCACATCTTGGAAGGCGGAGAGAGCGCAGACACTTATCGGCCACCTGCTGACACCAGAGGGGGGCCCATGTACCCCCTTTGCTTTGCAAACGGCAGTGTAGGACGTATTATTTTCCGCTTATAGCTTTCGGTCATACCTCGGGATAGGATGCCGAATCCTTCGACAGGGATTTGTGAAGTCACCCCCGCTCTGATCGAGCGGTTCGGGGCTCCACTGTCGAGGAATACGTTGGTCGGGCGCGGCATCGAAATTCGTGACCCGTTCATTGCGTCGAGAATTTGGGTGCCATCTGGTCCATCACCCTGTTGAGAGGCCGACCTCGGATTTTGGCTCTGTCGGACTATCCGCTGTGGGGGCGTGTCTGCCCATCTGATATCCCAAGGCAGTGGGAGGAAGAAGCTCTCTGCACATGCAAAACGGCCAGCCGCAACAGATGCCAACGTCACAGAGTTGGTGCGTCACGGACTTGGTCTAAGATGGCCACTTGAGCCCCTCCCGCCCCACAAGGGCCGCCCCGCCTGAGCGAGGGGGTATCGGAATTCCATACAATTGACAAGGTTTCGTCGCCTTCCCACCCCTCCAGGGGAGCCTCGCCTGAGCGAGGAAAGTAGCGGAGTTCCATACGGTTTGCCATGCTTCGTGCCTATCACATCCCTCCAGGGAGGCCCCGCCTGAGCGAGGAGGGTATCGGAAACCCATCATATTTACAAGGTTGCGTGGTCCGCCCGTCTTTTCAGGATGGCACCGCCTGAGCGAGTAGGGCTTCGGATGCCCACAGTACTTACAATGTTTCGTCACCCGCCCACCCCTCCAGGGAGGTCTCGCCTGAGCGAGGAAGATATCGGAATTCCATACAATACAAGGTTTCGCTGCCCTCCCACCCTCCAGGGAGGCCCCGGCTGAGCGAGGAGGGTATCGGAAGCCCATACTATCTACAAGGTCTCGTGCCCCTCGCACCCTTCCAGGGAGGCCCCGCTTGAGCAAGGAGGGCATCGGAAAACCGTCGGATTTTCACGAGCTCGTGCCTTTCCCACCCCTCCAGGGAGGCCCTCGCCTGAGCGAGGAAGTGATCGGCATCCCACACTATTTTAGAGTTTCATGCCCCTCCCACCCTTCCAGGGAGGCCCCGCCTGATCGAGGAGGGCATGCCTGAGCGAGGAGGGTTTCGAACATCCAACCTATTCACAAGGTTTCGTCCTCTCGCCCCTCCAGGGAGGCCTCGCCGGAGCGAGTAAGGTATTGAAATTCGAAATGATGTGCTAGGTTTCGTGTCCTCCCACCACTCCAGGAAGGCCCCGCCCTGAGCGAGGAGGGTATCGGAATTCCATGCGACTTACCAGGTTTCGCGCCCGTCTCACCCGTCCTCGAAGCGCAAGCTTCGGCGCGAGCTTCGGCGCCTTTGATGAGGAGGGCGTGGTATTCCACGATGCCTGCCCTCCGAAATGAAAGCTGGAGGGGCTCCCTGCCCCGACTGCTGTTGTCGTAGAGGGAACATGTAAAGACTCCCTTTTTCCGTCAGTGTTGCCAGAGAGGGAGTCTGAAAAGGCTCCCTGTCCGGTAGCGGGAGGGGCAAGGCTCCCTGTCCTGTCGGTGCGTTGTCGGAGAGGGAGTGTACAGAGTCTTCTTGTCCGCTGACGGGGTGCGATGGAGGAAGGGGTAAACCCCTCCTCACCAACAAAGCATAGATTTCAAAAAGCGTTCCCCCTTGATCGCGAACACGTAGGGGCAGCAGTCAAAAAGGAAGGGACTCCGTGCTGAACCGTCGTCCTTTCCTTCCCTGCTGCTTCCTCTCCTCGCCCACGTCGGCCCTCCCGGGAGTACACCTGAACGTCATGGACCTTCCCGTGCTCTTACCATTGTTGTGCCCTGTGGATCCCGCTGAACCCCGTACCATCCTTCTGTGGGGAGCTCTGGTAGCATAATTTTTCTGCATTCTCGCAGTTTCGCCTCCGATGCGCCTGCGAGGCTTGCGCCCAGTCCCCACGGGAGCTCCAAGGTGCCTCCAAGAGACGCCCCAACCCACCGGGAGCCGCACGAGAGGCGACCACGGGCTCCCGGAAGCCCCAAGGCAGCGCCCAGGAGACTCCCAAGAAGCCCCGCCCAAAGAGGCTCCGAACAGCCCCCCAAGAGCCCCCGAGACCCTTACGACGCCCCCAGGAGGCGCCACGAGACCCTACGAGACGCCCGCAACATGCTCCTGGAAGGTTTCGAAGACGCCCCAGAGCGGCCCCCAGGAGACTGCCACGAGACATCCTTTCTCCTTCTCCTTCCCTCCCCTCCCTGATCCCTCTCTGCTCCTCCTCCTCCTCCCTTCTCCCCGTTATGTCCCTGCCCCTCCTCCCTCCACCTCATCTCTCCTTCACTCCTTCCTCCCTCCGCCCCCCTCACCTAGCTTCCTGCCTCGCCAAGTGGTTAGAGCCCCAGCATGGAACACTGAAGATCCTACCATCCTCTGTTTCAAGTTTGACAAGCCCCTCCCCCCCCAGAATGCGCTTCCGCATCTCCCTTCCCTCGCTGTTTGTTCCAATTGATCTGTTTTCTGCTTCGCGTGTTACTTTCTCCCCTTTCTTCTCCCCCTTCTTAGGTTTGAGGGACCCCAGAAGCGCACCCCGGGAGACTGCCTCGAGACATTCTCTATCTTCACCCCTCCCTCCCCCTGATCGCTCTCCTGCTCCCCTCTCCCCGTTGTGTTCGTTCGCTCCTCCGTCCACCTCGTCTCGCCTTCACTCCTTCCTCCCTCCGCCTCCCCTCTCCAGCGTCCTGCCTCACGGAGTGGTCATGGTTCCATCTTGACACAAAGTTAGATGTTTCACACATTTATGTGTGTTCTTCAACCTCCCTCTAGAATGTGTTTCCGTCTCCCCCATCCTTTGTTGTCCGTTCCCATTGATATTTCTCTTGCTTCCCATTTCACATCCTTATTGTTCTTCTCCCCTACTCGGTCCTGATGGCAGTCCAGAAGCGCACTTCGGGAGACTGCCACAAGACATCCTCGCTTCGCATCCTTTTCTCCCCCTTGATCGCCCTCCTGATCCCTTTTCCCCGTTACCAGTTGTGTCCTTTTTCTTCTTCCGGGGGTGGACAGAACCCCCAACAGTGACACGTCGATTAGTGAATTGTCCGTTTTCGGTTTTCGAGAGGGCGCCGTGGCCGTTATTTTCCAGACTTGCGCCCGCCAGGTTTGGGCCTCAGGTCGTTCTCACTAGACCACGTTTTACTAAAGGGAGGTCTGTCCATCCCCGATTCTTCTCCCCTCTCCTTCAGTTCTTCCCCCCTCGCCCTCCCTATCTCTCCTCCCGCCTTCCTCGCCCTGCTTCCCGCCTCACCAGCTGAAGAGGGGCCCGCCTGGAAGAGCATGAACTCTCACACACATCCTCTTGTTCAAGTCGACATCCTCGTGCTTTTCGCCAGAGTGCGCTTCGGTCTCCCCCATCCCTCACATTTCGTTCCTCTTTTTTTTCTCTCGCTCTCTCTCTCTCTCTCTCTCTCCTCTCTTTGGTCCTCCTCCTTCCGACTCGCATCCCCAAGTTCGCCCCATGATTCACAAGCAATTCCCCCGATGACCCGAAGACAGTTTGACGAAGGCCCAAGACAGCCCACGAAGCTTCCATGGCTAACCTGGGGTCATATCAGACCGCTCGTCCTAAACGCGTGTTTCTGCCGCAGGCTCCGCCGATGTTTCAGATCGTGTTACAGCAACAAGCCCCGCGAATACGTCGTTTAGACCTTGAGCGCGCGCGATGGTTTCAGCTTAGATGTATGTGTATGTTGCTATACATAGAAATGCAGTGCATACATGCATCTGCATGTACAACTACACTTACACGTCTACACAGGCATAGACGACATACGTATATCAGCATAGCTATATATATATATATATATACATATATATATGGGTACGTATGTGTATGTGTGTAGAGATATATCGAGGTGTGTGTTTGTCCTTTCTCACTTTTTCGTGCCCTTCCTCCGTTCCCTCGTCCGCGCCTCCCCCTCTCCTGCCGCGAGCCCCTCCCCCCTGCCCGGGCGCTGCCCGGAGGGCGCTCCGGCGCGCTGCCGATGGGAGGGAAGAGCCACGGCAGAGCGGGGGCGGGCTCGCTCCGATCTCTCGGGCCCGATCCTGCTCGGTCGTTGATGCGCCCTGTGCTCACATCGGCCTTCCCTGCTCCTCCTCCTCCTCCTCCTGCTCTCTCTCCTGCTCCTCTCTCCTCCTCCTCCTCCTCTTCCTCCTGCTCCTGCTTCTCTCCTCCTCCTCCTCCTCCTCCTCCTCCTCCTCCTACGGGACAGCGTCCCGAGAGAAATCCTAGAGATCCTTTTTCTCCTTCTCCTGCATCCTGTCTCGACTCGGTTCGGATTTAGATTCGCTTCGACTTCGGACTCCGGTCGGGATTCTGGTTCCTCAGCGGAGCTCTTGCCAGCCTGCCGCTTTCCGCCGATTCGATTCATTTCGATGTGTCCGACTTTCGATCCGATTCTGGCAGGGCCCTCTTGCCAAGGGCAGATCATGCGGCGAGATCGGGCGGGAATGGCCAGGAAGCGCTGCGCGGCAGCCACGTGGTCATGAAGAAGAGGGCCACGCGCCCCACTCATCTGCGGCGCCAGCAGGGAGTGACGTACATTCGGCCCGGATTAGTAGGTCGACCCTGCCAGCTCAAGGGTACCCTTGTGTCCTGTGCCTCGCGACCCATGCTTCCTACATTCCTGAGGCAATGTGGCCCTTGGAAGGGTCTTGTGTCCTCTCGCGTGTCCTGTCCAATCAAGGCCGACTGTATGGAGATATGCCGTACGTTCCTGCTCGGTTTCGTTCTTCTCATTTTCGCGTCGTCCCTAGCCTCTTGCCTTCTCCCTCGTCCTCCTCAGGACTTGGAGGAGAGAGGCCCCTGGAGGAAGAGTGAACAGTGTGAGTGGTGGAGAAGCGAGTCTCTGCTGAGGGCCAAGTTCCCAAAGGACAGACAGACGTTTGTACGGGGGCCTTTGCCCCGGCAGTGCATACATCTTTGAGCACGACTTTCTGTATTGGGCATGTCAGAGACACGGCAGCAGTGGCCAATTCGAGGCATCGTCTCGTAGTTCCGATTCATCGGTTGTTGAGGTGCTCGCCGTCGAAGTCAATCTATTCAGTGTTTGTCTTACCAGCCTGCAACATACCCCTATCCCTATGCTGGGCATCGCCCCATCACGATGCCAATCTTAGGGATTCCCTTATTTTTGGATGGTGCATCCCTAAGATTGTCATCGCCTTTTGGCGTGGCAAACTTAGGGATAGGGATAAAACAGTTCGAGGCTGGTAATTGTCGAGAAGGAGAGGGAGAACTCCATCTACGGCCCCAGTGGATGCGCTTGCATGCCGGCTCCCCCCTCGTGTTGGCACACCCCAACACACGCCTCGTGGCCCCATAGGGAGCTCCATCTGAGCCTTTGGCTCCGTCGGGAGCTGAACCCATGCCAGTTCTCACACCGGGGGCACCCACAACTGCAAATTGTTGGGTCCTTCGCCAATATATCTATACTTATATTCATACGTATATATAAACATATGAATTTCATTATATTGTATTGTGTATTTGTTTGTTGTTACTCTCTCTCTCTCTCTGTTTCTCTATGGGGCCACGAAGCGTATGAGGGGTGTGCCACAATGAGGGGGGTGGCGGCATGCGGGCACAGACACCGAGGCCTTGCGTGGAGCTCCCGGTGGGGCCACGAAGCGTTTGGGTGATTTGCCAACATGAGGGCGTGGCGGCATGCGGGTGTAGCCATTGGGGCCTCAGGTGGAGCTCCCTATGGCGCCACGAAACGTGTTAGGAGTGCACCACAGTGAGGTGCTTGCGGCATGCGGGCGCAGCCATTGGGGCCTCAGGTGGAGCTCCCTATGGGGCCACGACACGTGTGAGTGGTGTGCCAAAATGAGGGCGTGGCGGCATGCGGGTGTAGCCATGGGGGCCTCAGGTGGAGCTTCCTATGGCACCACGAAGCGTGTGAGGAGTGTACCAGAGTGAAGGGGGTGGCGGCATGCGGGCGCAGCCACTGGGGCCGTAGGTGGAGCTCCCTATGGGGCCACGAAGCGTG